GCATTTTTGTCTGGTGCATGTAATCGATGAGTACAGCCGCTAAAGATAAAGAGGGACGACATGACAGGTCCCCAAAAAAGTGAAGCCAAAGGTAGGTAGTTCTTTTCACGCTAATTTTACAGATAAGTTTGGTTTTAATCAGTTATTTGAAGCTATAAAAAGGGGGTTTCAAGTCATGATTGAGCCACTACTGTGCAGACTCCAAATAACTTCATCAGTGGACCACGGCTGCTGCCGAACCCAGGATATCCTGGCTCCGTCCATTTTTATGTATGTTAATGAGTTAAACATGGTTGGGGTTTGACCTGTAAGGACAGTTGCACTAATGCTAGCTAAGACATAAACCACAGAAAAGCACAGGTTAAGTGACTTTTAAGAACTTCTGTCATATCCCACTTGTGTGCTAAAACAAACCATAAGAAATATTGGCAAACTGTTTGACCCAGGTCTGGAGAAAGACAGACAAACATTCAATATCCTTTGCAGCTACCTATATGCTAACGTAATGAATGCTATAATACATTACCCACCTCTTACAATGAGTAGAAAAACATTCTGTATTGGAAGTTTAGCTAATGAAACACTTAAGTGACAAACTGAGAGACTAGTTTCTAGCTAAATCTAAAACCAGCATGTCAGGTTAATGCTACAGTAAACATGCAGAGGGTCTGAAGCTGTTGGTCACATTTAACAAGAAACATTATCATCGTAACTCAACACAACTCGACCTGAAAACAACCCAAAGAACACCCTAAAAGCATCTTTCAGCTATCCACATATTAAATTTTGGTTTAACATTTGTTCACACACACAATAATAAAACTTTCCCCACACTCTCACTTCCAGGGCACAGTTATAAAACGCGCCAGGTGTGATAAAAGCGAGGTCCGCTGAGGCCAGCGAGACCACTGGAGGAGATAAGTTGGGGACAAAAGCCATCTCACTTAGAACATCTAGCGTAGCCTGTTACACAACAAGCCAAAAATAGCACCTGGAAAAAGGTGAACGCCATAACAAGAATCACACAGCAAGCTAAAAATAAACGTCTCCTTGAGGTGGAGAGGAAGTGTTACTATGTGCAATAATCTCCTCCAGTTTATCAAGATGAAGCATAGTGTGCCAAAGTACGCCTGATCTTCCCCTCAGTTACATTTGCATTACCATTGACTCCAGACTTTCATGCTACATCGTATGCACAACAGTACAGTCAAAGAGCAGGTTTAACAACAACCCTCCACATAACAAAGGACAGTTAAAGGAGCAATGTTTAAGATATGGCCAGAATTATAGCTAAGTTCATAGGTAGCACATATGAGTTGTGTTGCAGAGATATCTACTGAAATTAGAATGCTAATCTGACTACTACTACTGACTATTACTTTACTATGAACCAAGTTAGCATAGCCCTGATCGTTCATAAAACAAGCATTTTAAAAGTTATTTTGTCGTTGTTTTACCAACAGACACGACAAAATATGAATTCAGACTTTTTACGAATCTCCATCATTATCTAGTTATTTCGGCCTCATTTTGTTCCATTTATTCCAATAAAATCACAGCAAATACGGTAAAAACATCATGTCGCGGTTATTTTAACAGATACTTTATTTGTGAAATAAATTACGAATAGTGTAGGAATCATTTTTGAGTCACAAATTAAATTTCCACTGGGTGTGTACAAAATAAACCTGTTTTCTTACATCTGGAGAATAAGATGTGTATGGAAGGGCATCTCTGCAGCACTACAGTTCATTATAGTGCTGACCGCAAACTGTTAGCAAACTTAATTTTTTTGGAGCATGTGGCCCAAAATTACACATTGCTCCTTTAAAATCTCGGATATGATGTCAAATTTGGCGCTTATTTGGTTCATGAAACGTTGCAGCGCACCGACTGTTTGAGTGG